GCTATACTATTTCCTATGGCCCGTATAGAAAAGATGCATAATATTCTTCATGAAGACAAAGAAAAAAGCTCACAGAGGCCAGAAGTCTCAATCAGAAGCCCCAGAAGAGATAAATGACTGAAGTTCCCAAGTTTTTAACATTGTTTAATTTCCCCCTTATCCCTAGGCCCTTCCTGACTCACGCCAGACTTCTTTCAAGCTCCAGGCTGCTGCGCACGTGGCATATACATGTAGCAATTTAGGGCTCTGCGAACCCAGTTGGGCGTGCATTTCTCTGGAAACAGCACAGCTTATGCAGTCGTTCATGCTTCACACTTACTCTCTCCCATCAGTTGAGGTGAGCTTGCAACAGTCCATCAGCGCGTGAACTGTGATGGCCCAGCATAGATAAAGGTGTAGTGACTTCCAGGAGAGGAACTGAGCAAACAGCTCCGGGGCAGTAATGTGTTAAAACTCCACAACTTCTTGCTCGTGTGGACATGAATCAGAGTTACCCTAGCACAAGCATTTTTTTAACCACACCAAATCTATGCTCAGATTGGTTTAGCTTAATCTAATATATTACCAAATAAAAGTAACCTGGCATAAATATGGTTTAAATGAACTTAGCAACAGTAAAAGTCTTCTCATAAAGATGAGCATTATGAGACTAACACTGATTTGAATAACATTTAGCAAAACCTAATCTGAAGTGATATGTACTTTGCTTATTATGGAGGAACGAGCACATCTCATTATGGACATACTGTGAGACTCCCCAGACAATTCCCCCCCACCCCAAGGTCCTCTGCCACAATAAGTAGGCATAGGTCTCATTTTAGGGATTTGAAAACTAAGATATAAAATGAACAGAGTTTCTGAGGACAGCTTTGGACAGAACAAATCAGAAATCCTGTTTGCTCGACTACCAATACAAAGAAGTTAGTCGGGAACGGTATTCACAGCACAGAATAACTTTCCTTGCCCTGAGGATATTCTGTTATGAAATGACAGTCACTGTATTGCAATTATTACTGCATCCAGGAGCATCATTAAAAAGTCACCATAGAAAATTACACAGGGAGCTATTCTGGAAAAATTATTCTGCATTAGTGAATAAATTACCCCATGCAAACATGCTTGTAATAACAAATCTCCACTCCTTCCTCGAGAAAGTTAAAAAAAAAAAAAAAACTCAAAATTTACATATTTATGTTTAAGGTTTCTATGTTTTGTTGCTCCAGCCTTACCATAGAAAGAATCTGAGTCTGCACCATTTAAATTAAGTGGAGTTGTTTACAATAATTATACGATTAGGCTCCATGTAAGTAGAAAAAAAAGTCACACTGAACTGCTCACTCTCTGCATTGCTAGAGCCAGTAATATGCTCGTCCTGAACATCACCTAATTTCACTTTCTCAGTTGAATTCATTCCTACTAAACAATTCTTTCCATTAACACCAGGAGATAGACATGTGCCTATCTTTTTAATGTTCCTGAAAAGTATACTTTGCCTCATGTTTGTTATGAGAAAACACTGATTTATGAAGACTTTCAATCTGTCTCCTAATCATATGTTTTTTTTACTGAATTTAACATTCACCTCTCCTTACAGCAAAAAGGTTAGAAATAAAGAATGTGTGGTTTAAAAAATGTTCTGAAATGCCTACAACCAGATTCCTCTGCTAATTATTAAAATTTACTTCCCAACCAGACCATCTCTAAACTTCCATTTAAAATATTTTCACTTTTCACTTACCAATTTTTGTCCAAGCAAATAAACTGCAGCTCTTTGGTAAAAGAATGAGCCATCAGAACGTAACCCGATATGCTGTTTTTCGACAGACTAACAGTAGCACCAAGTGTGATCTTCCACTCTTCCATTCAACAAGGTGTTAGCACACAGCCTAAATATTGTCATTACACTTAAATGCTAACATTATTAACCACTCCACTGCCAACGTTCAGTCTTTCCAAGGATAATAGATACACTTGCCTGACATTCTAGTAGAAGGCTGTAATTTTTTCGCTATGCTAACGTTTGCTTGTGACTTTGCACGTGTAATAACTAGGCATTTCACTTTTAGCCCTATCCTGTAAAGTGCCATGGATTTCCGGAGTGAAGGATCCTGTGCAGCTGCAGATACAGTGCATCTTCCACAGAACCAGCATGTCGCACATAGCTGTTCATCACCTCACCTGTTCTCCCCGATGCCTTGATTCTGATCCCTCCCACAAAAGCATGAGCACGAAGGCTCTCAAAGGCATGGCTCAGAAGACACCTGGATTTAGCACATGCAGGCTGCACATCTGTGCCCAAAATAAACTGGAAATCTAAACATGAATATCAGTACAAATAAAGCATACCTTCATTACTTCTAAAGGGAACACGTCTCTCCATGTACTCCCCGGGCAAATTTCTGGAGTCCAAGCAAAGGATGTAATGGTACTTTTTGAAAGGAGTTGTCCTTCAGGCACTTCTCCCTCTTTGCTGTTGGCTCCCTGCTGAAAAATATATTTGTGTTTGGGGAGGAAGAGGCAGTTTATGTACTTGTACAAGGTCGGGTTCATTACCTTCTGCTGGCAATGAGTCTCTCTCACATCCTGTGGTGTGCAGGCCTGTTTACCACCATTTCCACAAGACTCTGCCCATGGCCAGCAACTAAAGGCCTATGAACCTCTGGACAGAGTTGAGACCCAGGAAGCTGAAAACTGTGTGGAGGACTTTGGGTGTCTTAAAATCAACAGCTCGGGAAAAGCATCCAGAAGCCAAACTACTGAGGTGAGCTTTCAGAGAGAACAAGCCACTCAGTACGGAAGAATCTCCCTGCAAGCCCCCGGGGACTTGCTCATAAACTCTCCCGAGCCCCTGACTTACAGCAAACGACAAGAATAACTTCAATTCAAATACTACAAACCTTCGAAGAGTGGTGTTTCTGCACTTTCATAGCAGAGAATCCATTTCCAGAGCTCAGATGAGAAGAACAGCTATTTATAGTGATGCAGGTGCAATTCAACTTTGAAGACAGTAAATATAATTCCAGGGCTGGCAGAGCTTCACCTGCTCAGGAGCCCTCACTTCTGTCAGACTTGCACCAGACATCTTGCTGGGAGGGCTAAGCAAGAGCTGTTCGGGGGGAACAGGATCTCCTTGCTTTCTCTCCCAGAGCTTTCCTGGAACTGCCTGCTCTGGAGAGCACTGGGGAACAGTTCAGCTCAGAGCAGAGATGAAATGGGACCTATTGCTGCTCCAGCATTTCCCCGTGCACCAGCATCACTGACCTTACCACCTTCCCCCGGGCCTCTGGGGCATGGGGCCACTTCTCTCCGCAGGGCTCATAACAGGCACGCTCCTAGCTGAACGGTGGCAGTGGGAAGCGAGGAAAGCAATGCTGCAGGTTTGCCAGAGATTTCACTAGAAACGTTATGGAAGGAACGTATTAGGCCTGCACCAATCCCCGATGCAAAGTGATT